AAGTGGTCCCACGCGGTGGATCCTACTATTGTAATGAGTGTAAGAGACGAGTGATGAATCTGATCCCAAGGTTTGGTTTTTACTAATTTCCAATGCTTAATGCTTTATGTCAACAATTTTTTATTAATTGACTCGTGAAAAACAATTATGATTCAGGTATCGAATCAAGACAAGAGTTGTTGACACCACGGACAGTGCTACTTTCGTAGTACTGGAAAGCGTTGCATGCTTGCTGCTCCATAAATCATGTTCGGAGATGTTGAAATATTCTGAGGTATGGATAAATATGTGATTATAACAGCTCATCTTACACCTGTTTTAAAACCAGATTTAAATTCTTTGACACATGTAGAGGTATTCATCATCGTGATTTATTGAACTATTTTAAACTCCGTAGTTCTAAAAAGGAAAAGATGGACAGAATAGAAACCTGCACTGTCTCATAATTGGTCATGAATAGATGGATAGAACAATGACATCTGACTTTATGTTTCTTGATTTGTCATAGGCTGAATTTTTCTTAAGGAAATACTATAAATTGAACAAGTTTTGAGCCCTCTGATTTTATGTATAAACGGCATGATGATGACTAATATATGTTATGAAAAGGTGATTTTTTATCAAAGACCACACTCACGTTACACGGTTTGACCTCATCTGCTCTTGGTTTTTTTGGAATTGTCAAACCTCTCCTGCTCTTGGTTTAGCAGAGGCATTTGTGCCATATCTAAAGTGAACTCCTCTGTGAATTGTTCCATGTCCTACATCTTCTTTAAGCATTTTTTGAGCATACACTATAATCAATACCAAGACCGCTTTGTCTTAAATCTTCTACTCTTGATTTTTTGGTAACTGTCTGAACTCTAATGCCATGTAATTTGAAATCTAACATGTGAGGGCTCTGCAATTAAACATTTTATAAATACAACAACGACAACACAACTTGGTGGGATGCATAGAAATGTATTTACCAAAGTTTAAACATGCACAACTAAATAACCTATTAGGTAATGTGAAACTGACACAACAATGAGAGATGCACTGCCTGAATAATACTGCTCCTGAATTTTTCTTTTTCCTCCTGTGGATTTAAAATGATGGTTTAGAATGGCAGCTTCTTCTCAGGTTTAAAGACATTCTTTGGACTTCTAAAAAATTCAGTAGTATGCTCCTTTGTACTGTCTGTCTGCCCTTAAATTTGGACTTGCCCTGCAATATGTTATAAATACAAAATGAAAACATTGAGACATATAACATTGGTTTTTGCTGCTTGCTTTACTTACTAATGGTTATTGTAATTGTTCATACAGAATCTGCCGAGTGGAGACATAAAACCCGATGTCTTTAATAGACTCTTGATAGATAAGTCGTATCTTTTTAAAGTTGATGTTAGGCGTTCTCAGTTCAATAACTTTGATCCTACCTATAATGTCATTGGCATTTGTTTTGATGAAAGAACAATCTCGCGATTCAAGGAAAGGCATGCAACATTTTTCTCCGTCCAGGTTTGTGAACATTATTAATCGAATGTAAATATCACTTAGTGAAAATTTTGTTTTGTTACTAATAAGACATAATTTTAAGATGCAAATAAAATGCTTAATGGGTAAATTATTATTAATAGACTGATGTGACTTTGGGACTTTCAACTGGAGAAAAATCATCACAGCATACCTTCTCCATGGGCGAGGCATCATCATGTGTCAAGGTTAGGACTCTAAAAAAATGCACAAGTAATTTAACTTTTGCTCGATTTTTTAATTTTTTGGCATGGCATATGTATCTTGCATTAAATTCTTGGTTCTTTATCTTACAGAATTTGATTGAAGATTTTGTGCAATCAAAGGATAATCAGTTTGAACGACTAGGAGATGATATCACCGACTCTAATATTGGCAAAAGAATCGAAGAGGTTGAATCTGACTATGCAGACGGTCATGAACCGAGCAAGAAGATGAAGACCATTAAGATTGAGAAAATTTAAGACTAGAAGTATTAAGTTAGATGGAGTACTATTCAGTTTTTGGGATTAGATTTACGTGTTAGACATTTTATAATTTATCATTTTTGATGACTTTGGTGTTTGAAATTAAAAATTTGAAATTTTCATTCATTTTGTTTTTTTAAATAAGATTGCATGTTTGAATAATTTATACTCAGTTCAATGTCATTACACATATTTTATACTTTGACCTGTTATATAGTTCATAATATTCATTAATGTTACACTCATATTCTATATATTGACGGAGTATATTATTATATTGAATAAATCATTCAATATAAGTATATCTTAAAGAAATTACTAATGGAGGTACTGAGATTGATTGTTTTGGTTCAACGAGCTAAAAAAATGTGTTTAATAATTACAATTAGGAGCAAAACTTGGTAACATGTAAAGACCTAAAAAAACCATACGTATAGTTTTTTAAGAAACAAACAGTATTTGTTTAAAAAACTTGGCTTTTTTACTTATATCCTTTTTATTTCTAAATTCGAAAATAATACACTAAATAAAATGTGTCATTATGATTTATTACACCATTGCATATATTATTTATGATTGACCATCTCAAATGAGTGTTATACGGTTTTACGACGTAGATGTATGTAAATGAAGAAAACAATTTTATACGAAGTGTGCTCAAAATTACATATTAATTTCTTCCATTATTCATTGCAAGTAATTGTGATCTAAAAAAATTATAATCAACGTGTTACGAGATCTTACGAAAAGTATTATGATTGTGTTAATATCTTTCAGAAACGTGATTGTTTTAGATTATAATAATTCTCACCACTAAATACTATCATTAGGTTCAATATTACCAAAAAAAATCATACCAGCATGTGAGAAATGTTATTTCATTTTTTAGCGTGCCCATAAAAAGTACTACCTCCAACCTTTACTTTGTGTTACACTCTGATTAAACTTGATACTTTTTTTAAAATATTTTTTGAAGATTGTTACGAAATCCAGGTAATGTATTTTTTTCTTATTTTATTATTTTTTCCATTTCCGGTTGTTGTGTACACAAAATTGATATTATATTTTTAATTTTTTTTTACGTATTTACAATGATTTCAACTTAATCACGTGCGTTGGATTGAATCTTATAAAATTACTGTGTTAGTTATTGTTGTTAATAATGGAGCATTCACATATTTTACTAAAAAAAATCTATGTACATAGAACGTATTTATTTAATGAACTATATTTGTGTGTTTTTTGTTTGGTTAAAAATATGGATTTTTATTTAATATATTCATCACTTAACTTAACGCTTCATGTGTTTTGCAGATCTTGACATTTCGCCAAATGATCTACAAAATTTATGCTTGATTGAGATTGAAAAGTTGCTGAATTCAAATGGACGCTCTTTGAAAGAGTTTGGTGGCATGCCATTTCCAGTTGACGACCCGCTGAATGTGTTTCAAAATAATTTCTTGGTCGAAGAGCTGAACTATGACAAAGAAAAGTTGTCCACTGATCTCAAAGAATATTTATCCACGATGAATGACGATCAGAGAAAAATATATGATGAGATAATGGAAGCGGTGGCAGCTGCGAGAGGAGGTTTTTATTTTGTGTATGGTTATGGGGGAACTGGAAAAACATTTCTTTGGAAATCATTATCTGCTGCGCTTAGATCGACTGGTAAGATTGTATTAAATGTTGCATCCAGTGGAATTGCAGCTTTGCTATTGCCAGGTGGTAGGACAGCGCATTCAAGG